GGGGAGATGCAGGGGTGCCGTGGCGGTCTTGGCGTCCTCCAGCAGCAGCGGCGGCAAGCAGGAGGTGGCCGCGCGCGTGCTGGCGTGCGGAGGCCACGCGCCCCTGCCTACTGGCGTGAGGTAGGGGATGACTGGCATCTCCAGTGGGCTGGGCTGCTACAGTAACGGGTTGGCCAGGTAAGTCACTCTCTCTCGCTCTCTAGTTTTTTTGTTTCTGTTTTCTATTTTTTTTGCAGTATGTGTTGATTTAGTTCAAAGACCAAACCACTTTCATAAATCCTGAAATTGTTTGTGGGTGCAAATCATATCATTACAGGGCCCCACCTCAAGTTTCAGAATTTTTAGAGCAATAAATATATTTATAGGATTTATTTGCTCCAACTCAAATAGGTATTGTGTTAATTCAAATACCAAAAATGTCTTGGAAAAATATCCATCATCTCTGGATATGGTTTTCACCTTCTTCCATAAATCATGAACATTTTTGCAGACCAATTTGGATTCATTGAAAAAAATTAAGTTGAACCTATTTGCATTGTTTTGGTGCTAGGGGTTTGATCATCCTCCATTTCAAATTTAAAAGAAATTTAGACATGATACAACAACCAAGCTAGTCCAAGTGCATAGCAAAGCTAGGGATGTTACACCGTCCGGCTACGGGCGACGAGGTTTTGCCGTGCCGCTGTCGTAGACGAGAAGAGGAGTCCGTCTGGCCACCGTCGACGAGGTCTTGTCGCGCGCCCACCATCAACGAAAGTACGACGAGAAAGCCGCAACAAAATAATAGGATGGGAATCGTGACTGGTTAGAAGTTAGGGTTGCGGTACTGGTGACGCACCATGGAGTTTTGGTCGGAGGCAGCGCTCCTTTTACCTAGTGCATCACGTAAATAAATCATATTCTGTCCTAATTTCTCTGAAGAAACTTGCCTTATGGGAATATGAGGGATTGCATGCTGATTTTCTTTCTCGGCCAAAAGTTCAGTGGGGAGGGGAAGGAATTGATAGATTTAGGCAAGTAAAAATCACCTAAAACCGCAACGTGGGGAGGGAAAGGAATCAATGGGATAAAAAAATTGGTGGGATCGATCAACGTGAGGAGCTGAGTAACGAACGAAACGATGTACGGACTTCTCCTTTAGGAGTAGAGATTTGTGGGTCGTTTTTGGTTAGTGTAGTCCCCTGCATTTGAAGATTGGAATGTAACTAGCAAGATGCCCGTGCATTACACGGGACATCAAGATGCATTTTCTTTTATAAAACGCCTATTGTGATTGACCCATGCGGGAGTAATCTCATGTGTAAAAACCAATGAGATCTCGAGAAAGGCGAGAGATAAGATGAGGAGGAGTGGGGTGTGGTGGTAATTGATAGTCGGACTGAGCGGAGGCATAAGGATGGACGACGACGACAGCGGCCACCATGCCAGATTGTTACAGAGTCTTTCTTTTTTAATTGCTCAACAGTGAGGTTGTGGGAGATAAGGATGAACGAGGAAAGACCCCATCTGCAAATATAGAGAGAGGTTGACAATTTTTGGTTTGCTAAGTGCGCATACCACGCACGTGGCCACCGGCGCACGGGTCTCATCGACCTCGTGCTCGGGGTGTGCTTCCATTTGGCACAAATATAGAGAGAGGTGCGGGTATCTATTTGTAAAATTGTCATAGTTTGCTTTCTATCTGTTATATATAGATCGGACGATCTATATTGCAAGATGGCAGACATACCATCATCATCAACTCGGTTTTTTTATAAGAATAGAGATGATTGTTTTGGATCCGTGTATCCTGAAACAAAATTTCAACTGATTTTCACCTGCCAATCAAAATTTTAGTATTAGAGGGTGCTTGTAAATGTCTGGACCCGTCTGGACCAATGGGGTACATCAAGCATCTGCGGACACAGGTCAACCCTTGGGCCCATCACAAACCTGTTTTGATGTATGCTGCTGGAGATGCTTAACTCTCTTTGTACGAATTGACACAGAAGAGAAGTTTGAAAAATTGTATAACTTGAGGCACTGGTTTTGGCCAATACCTGT